CACTTATATCGGAAAAGGGAGTATTGCAACGTTTGACGGAAAACATTTAGTAGGACAGTTCGGCGATATGACTCACTGTAATATCGATTCCACAAATTGCTATCTCAGTCACGGCACTGTTATTTGGGACAAGCCACCATCCTCTCTTCCTCTATGCCGCTATGTCAGAGCTGCTCAGGGAATAGCATACGTGACTCCAACTCATATTCTGCTTAATGACATCCAATCCGCCTTCACCTATAAAAATGTTTCCTACTCTATGCCTCAAAAAAGGGCTTGGTGTTTAAACGGCAACGCAATAGCTATGGATAACGGTGTTTTCATAAATTTACCAGAACTTCAGGATAACAACTCACGCACAGTCTTCTCTGACCGACCAGAAGTTGTGCACACCATCAATAAACCACACTTCCACAATTCGCGCTTACCCAATTTATCGACACGATTAATAACATTCGCCGAGCTAAGTTTGATAACGAGGATCCTTTACTACGAACCGCTCGTTTCGCAGTACAAGACGGTTCGCACCCACCACACGATACTAATAATGGCAGCCTCAAAATGCTATACCACTGGGCATCCCAGTCTCTTAACAATAAACCCATCCCAGTGGAATTCTATCAGCTCATGGGGCAGAAGGCTTACAAACAAGCAGCAGTAAGTACTCATAATTACAAAGCGTTAACTCACTTATTACATAAACCCAGATACTCAGTTTTGGAACCTAAGCAGTCCTCGCTTGAGAAAATCAAATCGAACATCTCAAGTAAGATAGCACAACATATAGCTACCAACCTAAACCAGACTTTACTACAATGAACAATGACCCAGAACTTGGTCATGAGCAACGCCAAGACCATCGTCACGCAGAACTCAATACTAAGATGCAGTTTTTAAAGACAAAAATAGAAGAAACTTCACAACAAGACTTCAACTTTTTGTTAGACCGAATTTGCTCTCTTACAAACTTAAAGATACAAACAATAAAAAGTATGGCCCTACTCAACCCGACTAGCGCCACCCGAATGCTACTAAACCGCGATGATATTTTCGCTCTTTTAGCAGGGGATGTTTTAATGGTTTCCAAATGCAAAGAAATTACAATTGATGAAATTCTAACAGACCACAACATAAAAGGAACATGTTACGCATTTACACTTGTCCGCGCAGGGAAAGACTATTATTTTATTCAACTAGGGACACGCGATCTCATTAAATCCAGTCCACCCACCGATTGTAACCATCTTCCATTTGGTATCTATAATGATGGCAACAATCACTATAAACCATCTGCAGGTTACACTCAGGTAACTAACATTCACCTTAATTTACCCACTGGTTTCACAAGCCAAGATATCATTTTTAAGGCTCCACCAATCTTTCATTCAGATCTTGCGCGAATCACCACCGATATTTATCTAATCAAAAACCATCTAACCGCCGGATCATACTCTGTCCCTGGCCATACTACATCATCAGATACTACTGATTTAACCTTCGATAATCTCCAAAATGAACTTTCTCAATCTATATCATACCTCGAATCTAATGCCGGACACATTATTCAATCACAAAAGAAGAAAATACTAGAACAAATAGGCTTACACAAACTAGTCACAGTAATCGTTATAACTTCTCTTCGCATCATCATTTTCATGATACTACTCCTGGCTCATTGCTAATCATTTTGCATTAGAACAGTCTTCAACTGCATTTTCAGAATGATAACTGTGAGCATCTCCTATATCTTTGCACTCCTTCGCAGCAAAATAACCTTTCCAAATACAACCCCAGGTACTAGACCAACTATTAGTAACCCAACCGTAAAAGCTCACCGCCAACGCTCTTCTAGTGCTGGCCCAACTTCTCATCAGGATAACCCAATAAGTGTTTCAATACAGCCACCTCCTATGGATATTCCCTTATCCCAAGTACCACTTGCACGCTCCGAACCTCCAGCAAAACCAACACGCCAATTCCCTACATTTTTACCAAGCGTATCTTGTTTACATTATACAAACAAACCAACAATGATTTATATACCTACCCAACTTGATAAAATCCCCGTCATAGCTCTGCTCGACACTGGCTCAGCTCTCACCATTGTATCAGAAACAGTAGCTTATAGCATAGGAGCCAAAATAAAGGCCACTACAATTACGAGCGGTGTCACAGCCAACGGCACTTCGATCAAATTCTTAGGTGAAATGACTTCTTTTCTCACTATAGCACATGTATCCATACAAATTACTTGCCAGGTTGCTCAAAACAATACTTGCTCTTCTGCATTCTTGTTAGGGAATGATGTCATACGGCAATTTGCTGACAGATTGTCCATTGACTATAAGCGTAAGGCAGTCTTTTTCGATAACACATATGTCAGAATCTTACCATACCCAGAAAACGCTCATATTCATGGAAAATATACGGTGCCTATTTTTCTACTCAAGGACATCACTCTCCAGCCAATAGCTGAACGTGTTACCCGGGGCAACACAAAAATAAAAGTCCCAGAACCAGACCAATCCGAATTCGAATCAGAACGTGTATTACCTCCAGGGGTACATGTCATTCAAATCATACATGGCCCAAATACTCACAGTAACGTTTTAGTAAGACTCTTTAACTCACATTGCCAATAACTTTACGAAAATACACTAAAATAAAATAACCACACATCAACGGCCACCCATCTCTTCAGTATACAACGACGAAACTTCTTACCTTTCTCCACTAAATGAATATATACCACCCGAAGCCGACATTGCTAAAAACCTACCGTATTTTCCTCAACCTTCTGAAGATCCACCAGTCTTTGGGCAAGTAAAATTCGATAATTCACTCTTGAACCAAAAACATCTTCAACAATTTCAGAAGCTCCTCTCTAAATACAGTAAGTGTTTTGTACGCAATGACGGGGATTTAGGTCGGTACAACGGTCCAATCACCCACACCATTAATTTTATTCCTCATCCAAAAATCCCTAAGCAAAAACCATACCGCGTCCCGTTAGAAAAAAGGCGCGAAATAGAGCGTCAAATTAAGGAAATGTGAAGAACTAACATCATCGAACCAAGCACCAGCAAATTCGCATCACCTACAGTGTTAGTTAAGAAAGGTCCTAACAAGGACCAATGGCGACTCACCATCGACTATAGGCAAATAAATTCCATCACGGAAACTGAAACGTACTGCATACCACATATGCAGGACATTTTAGATCTTGTAAGTGGCAAAGCAATCTACACCGTCCTCGACTTCAAAAGCGGTTTTTTCCAGATACCATTAGCTCCAAAACACAAGAAGCGCACCGCTTTTTCTTCTTTTTCAGGACTGTACCACTTCACCGTAATGGCACAAGGCCTCAAAGGCGCCCCAGCTACGTTTCAGCGAGTTGCCAATAGCCTCATCAGAGGCATGCGCGCTTGTTGTTTCGCCTACATCGACGACATCATCATAGCGAGCCAATCGGTGGACCAGCACCTCATCGATCTTGAAGAAATCTTCCAACGCATCCAAGCGTTTGGGATGAAACTTACGCCAGAAAAATGTTCATTTTCCAGGCGGAAGTACGATATTTAGGCGTTCTCATCAGTAAGAATGGCACTCGTCCTAACCCGGACAAAGTAGCCAGCATAGCCGATATTTCACGTCCAACAAACGTGAAAGCAATCAAATCTTTCCTGGGAGCAGCCTCCTATTTCCGACGCTATATCCCGCGCTTTTCCATCATAGCTACACCGCTTCACGACCTATTGCTCAAAAACGCGCCATTTAAGTGGACCGAGGCCCAAGAACAAGCATTCTCGGCCCTAAAAAAAGCCCTTGTGGAAGCACCTCCTCTAATCTCTCCAATTTTTGGACAACCATACATAATACACACAGATGCCTCCACAATCGGGCTAGGTGCATGCCTATAGCAATCAAATCCAAAAACCCAGGGAGAACATTCGATTGCCTACGCAAGCCGGTCACTAAACAAGCATGAGAAGAACTATGCAGTGATCGAGCTAGAGGCATTAGCAATAGTGTTCGCGCTGAAACAATTCTACCCATATGTAGCTAATGCGGGCATCACTCTGGTAACGGATCACGCGCCCCTTAAATCACTAATGCACCGCTCTGATTTGATAGGGCGTCTCGCCAAATATCAAATCATGATCCAGTCCTACGATATTTCAATAGAATATCGCGCAGGAAAACATAACACATTCTGTGATTTTTTGAGCCGTCTTCCCTCACCAAGTGTTAATTCAATTATAGCGCAATCTCTCCCCTCTCTCGAAGAGATTCAAGAGAGCCAGAAGAATTCGAAATATGGTCCCATATTTGAGTTTCTTTCTGGAACACGTGAGGAATTGCCTCAAGAATTTGAAAACCGAGTCGACCGATTCTCAATTCTTAACGGCTCCCTATACTACACGATTTACGACAAGGCGAAACTCTTTATTCCCAATGCTGACATGCAATCCAACATCATTGCAGTGTTCCACGAGAATCCTTTATTAGGATCACACCTGGGAATACACAAAACATATAAGAAAATTCTGGGAAAATACTTTTGGTACAACTTATATCAGGATGTGGTATCATACATAAACACATGCCCCATATGCCAAAAAGTAAAAACGCCTCCAAGTAACATAATTCGTGAACAATTGGGAGTCTTCCCAATTCCTCAACGACCATTCGAACGACTCCACACCGACATCATCGGACCACTACCGCAATGCGTAGACGGAAGTAAGTACATATCAATATCTGTTTGTGCTTTCAGCAAATATGTAGTTTGCACTGCTCTTGTAGACCAAACGGCCGAATCAGTGGTTAGGGCACTTTTGAATGATGTAATTTCAAAACACGGTATCCCTAAAGAACTGATCTCGGACCGCGGGTCAAACTACACGAGTGCAATATTCGCCAAGATCAACAAAGCTCTTGGTATCACTAACAACGTTACCACGAGCTACAACCACAAGGCTAATGGGCAAGCTGAAAGGATGGTCAAAGTAATAACAGACTCTCTTACAGCATATTGCTCAGAAGCCAGAGATCTCTGGAATGACTTATTGCAACCCGTGGTGTTTGCCTACAACACCAGTGCAAACGTAACAACAGGTTACAGTCCATACTTCATCGTATATGGACGATGTCCCATCACATGGAGCGACATCCTCCATGAACTTCCTTCCTCAACGTCATTCACATCCGACGACTTCGCGGACCAGTTCACCATTGGTCTGAAAAATATCATCATTAACGTTGGCAAGGAGATCGCCTCGAAAACTGCTCAATACAAGATGGGCTACGATCTTCACAATAAGGTATGCCAAAAGGATCTTTTCACTGGCGACCTAGTACTTTTGCACGACGACACAGTTCGTCCCAAACTCACAAACCAGTGGAAAGGCCCTTTTGTAATTGAAGACATCAATCGCCCCAACATCACAATCACTAACCTTGTAGGTCGCCCAATGCGACAAGCAGTCCATATTAACCGTTTGAAATTGTATTCTCCTCGTTCGATGCCACTTGATGCTTCTAATACAAACACCACACCATCATTCGAACAAAATATAGAAACACCGAGTAGCATCGAACAACCAATAATACGACGGTCTCATCGCCATCAGGAGAAACAACAACGGCAAAGCTCAGCAGACTATTATGATTGAGCTACAACATGTGTTCTCACGGCGAGAACACAGCCCTGGGTAAGTTAAAATTTTTATTTTAACTTCAAATCCTCTTATCAACACATTTCCCTGAATGGGCGGTTCAAGGAAATAAATTCTTTTTTCGCTGTAATATCGAAATTACGCCCTTATACTTGTCGACCAAAAGTGTGCAGTGCTAAGACTAGTATTCGTATCATAGTATTCTCACTTGTCCGTATATTAGTCGAATCCCACACAGACTAATATACGCTTCGTCAAGCTTACTAGTCTACTAATCGTATACCTTAGCCAGACTAGTAACTAGAATTGTGCAAAAAAGCTGACCATCATGTGCAAGTGATATTGTTTATTCAAACACCACATATTAATATTGTCACATCTAAGCATTATACTGATAATATCCATCATGCCTCTTTTTAATGGCAAGTATCATGTTGTATAACTGATATAAACCCACTATCACACAAACTAGACTATATTGTATAAGCATAACTGAAATAGCTGTTGTAACTCACTGTCACATATATGACTTTTCCTCCACACATGTATTCATCACCAAGTAATTCCCATTATTCTAACTCGGGGACGAGTTTATTTTCTCGAACGAGTGGCACACTAGCCTGCATCACTAGCCTGCTTTCTAGCCTCTTCTAAGGGCGGCCTGTATCCTGTGCCAACATCTTGTCTCGTTTGGCAGTTCAATTTTTCTCGCAAATTTTTGCTGACCCATAATGTCCTCTATGTTCGCACATCTCTCATCAAATGCTTAACATCATACGGATCGGCTGTCAAAGCTCGAAGACGAGCTTTCTTTAACGAATGGAGATGTCGAGTCATGGGCCAGCTATGCTGAGTCATGCGCCATCTCGAGACAGACACCGAGGTTTCATCAGCTCCGCCGACGCACCTCGTCACTATTTCATAATACTGAGGTAGAAACCTCAGTATAAAAGGAGCCGCCTCATGGAGTCGAGGTCGTCGTCCCTCGGATGTCAGCTTAGCCTCCAGGCTAACCCGACCGTTTGTCCAGGCTATCACCTGCCCTCTCGTCCTGTTCCCCCTTTATATCCTCTCTTGTTATTTACTCATTTAATAAATATATATATACATATATACTCTCCTATAAGAATATCTCTAGATCCGCTACACATCAGGTATAGGCCTCATGAGCCTATAACTTGATAAACCCCTTAGGACCAACACTTATCCCGCTCGTAAGATCTCGTTTGTTGTATTGTTTATATTGTAAAGATCTCGTGCCTTATTGTACTCTGTGTGCCTTAAGGATGAAGCTGTTGTTTTACTGGCCTGCTCGAGCTCATCCAATGTAACTGCAACTGCCATATCCTAATTTCGAGATAGGCGCTTACGACACGTCAGGGAACAGGGTGAAGATCCTAGGGTGTTCATCCTGAGAATCGAAGGGAGCAAGGAACAGTACGAGTCTTTGTCAAAAATATGAGGGACAATGTTATCTTGTTGGGAACCAACGTGTTGGAAATTCTCAGCATTCACATAGTAGTGATAAGGACACACGCACAGAAGAGGCTGGTCAGAAAAGGAAGTCTAAAAAGAAGAATCCAGAGGGAGCAAAGTCGCCATTAAGCTCCTCTCGGAGCTACAGGATCCCGACAAACGAATCCACGGTAGTCAGACGAGTACACGTCAGTCCCGGTGGATGCGTAACTATTCAAATATCCGCAAAGGTTCGACGGAACGTTGCAACAGTTTGCTCCATTGCCGCGCCCGTACCAACGGGAGTATGCGCCTCGACAAAAGAAGGTACCATAGATATACCAACACTCAACCGTACAGGCAGCTGATAATATTCCGAGAAAGACAAAAAGTGGGACTTGGGAAGAAGTCCACTCGATACACTCAGCATTAAGGGATATGGGGTTAGACATGCTGGAGGTGTCCAAGAGAGTGGAGGCAAATGGGATCAATACCTTGATAAAGCAGCTCATGAACAACGGTGAGCTCGAGTGTTTCGCAGAGAGGTTGACCGAGTTAATCACAACCTTCCAGGATGTATTCGCGCTCAGTGACAAGGAGCTGTCGCAAATGAATCTCCTTGAACATGACATTGACCTGGGTGACACCAAGGCCATCAAGCGAAGAACCAAAGCAGTGCTAAAAGGAGCAAGGCCAGAGTTGAAGAATATTTTGAATAATCTGGAAGAACAAAAGTTCATTAGGAAATCAACTTCAGAATGGGCATCTCAAATAGTGTTAATCCAGAAGAAGGATAAAACGTTTCGACTGTGCGTCGATTATAGAGCACTGAACAAGCACACAAAGCACATTCTTACCCCTTACCTATCAGGAACACTCTCCTTCAGAGCCTAGACGGGAAGAAGTTTTTCAGCACGTTAGATATGGCCCCAGGTAATTTCAAATAACTCACAGACGATGCTCACAACAAAAGTGCTTTCACAACCCCGAAAGGTCTCTATGAGTTTCTAGTCTTGTCTTTTGGCATGTGCACCCTGCGGCGGTGTTTCAAAGACTAATGGATCGAGTTCCTGGCGATCTGAAAGGAGAAGTATTCGTCCACATTGACGATATACTAGTCGCCACAGGTAGTGAAGAACGCCACCTACAAATGCTCACAAGGAAGTTTGAGGCGTTTAGGAAAACAAAGTTGGAGTTTAAACCGCAAAAGTGCCGGCTAATGGAACAGCAAGTATCGTTCCTAGGACACATCATCAAAAAAAATGAGCAAATATGGATCCCGATAACGTTGCGAAGGTTCCTAAACTATCCTAAACAGCAATCTCGCGGAGCTTAGAACCTTCCTAGGACTCTGTGGGTACTACAGGAAACTCATTTTAAGATTTTCATCAGTTGCCAAGCCACTTTTCGACCTAAGCAGTTTGAAAGCACCATTTTGTGGAGCGGTGAATAGGAACCTCGAAAAAGTCATTGCATCAGCTCCAGTTTTAGGCCAACCCAATATCGAAAAGGCCAAAACAGGAGAAAAGCCGTATATAATCTACAGTGACGCAAGCACTACCGGCATAGGAGTGGTATTATGTCAGGAAGGCGCAGAGAACCTAATGTAACCAGTGTACTTCACGTCAAAAAGATTATCAAACACAGAGCAACGCTACCACATCACGGACATCGAAGCTCTCGCCATAGTATATGCAGTCAAAAGGTTTCACTTTTTCGTTTTCGGCATGAAAAGAACGGATCACCAACCGCTAACCACATTGATTAAGGGAAGTAAGGTATAACCTCTAGTAAATGTTGGACACTAGAACTACAAACGTACGACCTGGAAATACAGTACTACAAACGTACGACCTGGAAATACAGTATGTCAAGGGTAGCGTCAATAAAGTTGTGGATGCACTATCCAGAGGTGTAACAAACGACCCTGCACCCTACGAAGACGGGAACGGAAACATTCAGGGGTAAATTCGGTTGAGTACGAAACCGAATGGCTGTGCGAATTGAAGAACGACAGCTACAATAATGATGTGATAGGCAACTGGGAGAAGGTAAGATCGAGAACGAGGTTCTATAGCCTCGACAGACAAGAAGTTCAAAGTATGCGATCATTGCATCCATGAAGGGGAACCGCACCCCATCCTGGAAGACGGATCATTGCCAAAAGGTGTTTCTAAGTCCAAAGAGGAAGTATCCAATGAAATCCACTCTGGACAGTTTCCCGTCATTTCGGCGCACGGAAATGAACAAGTTTCTGAAGTCGAGTTTTCTGGCAAGGCCCACAACAAGACGTGTCAAAATGGTGTGCAGGATGCAGAAACTGTCTTTGAACAGATGATCAAAAAAATAAACCTCCACCACTGGAAACTTTTGAAGTGGCCAAACCGTTCGAAGTCATCGGAGTTGATGTTTTGGAGGTTGGACCCTCTCCAGGTGGCATAAGTTACCTTGTCGTTGCCATCGACCATTTCCCGAAAGTGGCTAGGTGCGTATCCTGTTCCTTGTGAATTCGCGGAACAGATTGCGAAGGTACTTTCCAAAAGATGGATAGCTGAAGGAGAGCGATGGCCGAAAAGAATCCACGCGGCGATGGCCGAAAAGAATCCACTCCGATAGAGGGAAAGAGTTTGAAAACAGTGTAATGGAAGCCTTATGTAAAGCAAGCGGCATGACGCAATCGTTTGCAAAGGGGTATAATCCAAGAGAAAATGGAGTAACGGAAAGGGCAAACAAAACTATACTTCGTATGCTGAAAAAAAGAGGTGGAATAGCCTCGAAATGGGACGAATCCATTCCTCATGTGGTGTACGCTTACAATATTTCCCCAAACAAAGCTACGAATGAAAGTTCGTTCTTTTTTCTGCACGGGTTTGACCCAGTCTTTCCATCGCTACATCTGAAGTTTGTGTGCGACGAAAACCAACACGTGAAGCCGCCTGGTAATTGCAATGGTTACCTGATCGGGGGCTCGTTGCTTGAAGAAGAGAACGCACGCAATCTGTCTTTTGTTTCATTGAACATATTGGTTACAATGAAAGATGTAATTTTTGACAGTGTAGGAAGGTTAGCACCGCCTGTAACGATAAGGATGAAAGACTATGGGTCATAAGACTTTAAATTGCTAAAGATGGCGAAGCACAACACTCGTACAGAAATTTCGAGAAAAGCCCTCCGAATAGCTTCCCTCTACTTCAGAAAGAATTGCATGCACGTCCATTGAGCCTGGAAAAAGTACATCCAGAGGATGTCTGTCATGGAGCTATGCAAGATGTGGAGAGCGTCATCCGCATAAGTGGAATTTACCAAGAAGCCCTACAGTGGGTGGACGGCCAAGAATGGAAGAAACCGATTCATAGGAAAAAAGACAACAATACCTGTTTACACTCCGCTGCTCGTCGAAAATTCGCATGCAACCATGATGCTGTGGCAGGGGTCACATACATTATGGACAAGCTACCTCAGATAGAATCAAACCGGGACGTATTGTTAATCGTGAGCACCAAAGAAGCGAGCATCGACCTCATCGTTAAGGACTTTGCATTGTGGCTAGAAGAACCAGTGCCGAGGGACGTACAGCTCGCCATTCGCATGGCCCCAATGGAGCACCAGACCCTGGGGCAAGAGAAAAAATGGTTTGAGGTCTACAATTCGATGAAGGCCACGGTTGAGAATGTGAGAAAGGTAGTAAACAATGTGCGACTACTCGGCGGCGCAAAAGCCGGAGAATTGGACCACCCACATCGGTCGTTGGGTACAGCTCTTTATGATGAGCAAGGTCGAATCGGATTCCATGGAACCAAGACATGGTACGCGTGTCAGGAAGTTCTGAGTAAGCGACTGGCCTCCTACAGCAGAGAAACCAAAGAAGGAATTTGAAGGGCCTCCGCAGAAAAGGAGAAACGATGAGGAGGGCAATGCACCGCAGCCCTTCAAAAGAACAATTACTTCGAGATGGCATGGTTAACGCAGAGTGGGACAGGCTACCTGTGAAAAAGGGGGGGGGGGGAAGGAAGCTGAATGGATTAAAATATATTAACGAAGAAATTTCAGCTTAGACTCAGACGAGTGAGACGAGTGGGGACCACTCTTGAGGGCCCGGGGGATGTAAGGAAGGCGCGTAATCGAGGTAAAGATAGAAAGATTCTGAAAATACGTGCGCGGGAAGAGCTGCATATAAAAGGGCATATCTATCATCTAATAATTCATTCTTGATTCGAGTCGGAGACGGATTTACCCTAGAAGAGAGAAAACTCTTGAACTCGCGCTCTTAACCTCATCCCCCAGGAAACGGACCGCAACTTCCAACACCTTGGCGCTCTTACAAGTAGGGCCAACACTCATCCCGCTCGGAGGATGTCATTTGTTGTCACAGAATGTTAACCTGCTGCATTGTGCTCCATTATTGTCCTCATTGTGAAGATCTCTTGCCTTGATTGTAGTGTGTGTGCCATTAAAATAAAGCTGTTGTTTTACTAGCCTGTTCGAGCTCATCCAAGGTAATTGCCACATTACCGCAAACCTTACAGAAACTCTTCATATGAAAACATGCTCATGCTAATCACCCAGACAGTCTTTGGAATTAAATGAAAGTAAGCGTCGGTATAAGTACATACGTACGTCCGAGGATGCGCGTGGCGGAACTCTTGGCGGTCTGAACGACTCTGGCGCCTATTATTGGGGCACAAACTTGATGAAGGGTATTCAAGTAGGGTCAGCCGATCATACTAATCTACTCTACTTCAAATTTGGGCCCCGATGAAAGGCGCTAAAATCGCTCGTATCGCCACGAACTTCGCTGCGCGAATCCTCGGCCGTATGTACAAGTGCGGGGGACGGAACTCTCACCCAATTCTGGTTGGACGCGGCAAACCGCGTGGCAAAATTCGTGGTGGTTTAAACAACCCTGGCGCCTATTAATGGGGCACAAATTTGAAGTAGAGTATATAAGTAGTACCAGCTGGCTCTACTTATCTACCTTGGACCTGCGTCCCAATGATAGGCGTCAGCATCGTTTAAAACACGACAACGGACGTCAGCAAACATGTGTGTCTGTGTGTCTGTGTGTCTGTGTGTCTGTGTGTCTGTGTG